AAAGTTAATCAAGGATGATGTTGATGAGTGGATAATTTTGCAGTTAAATACATTTTGGTTTCATGTAGACCATATTAAGGGTAGCTGGTATGACCAACATTTTACACAATGCCAGTGTTGGATAATTTTCTGTAAACTTTATGTGTAGACTTGTGTATACTTTACAAATTAAAAGCTTTTTTATTTATGTATTTATTTATTTGGCTACAAACCAAAAGATAACATTATTTTTGAATATCAATGAATATATCTGGTTAAAAATCAGTAGAACTAATATTATAAAAGGATCTGTGACTCTGATTGGATGAGCTGTGTTTGAAGCAGATGAAAACTATGTTTTGATATACACATTATACAGATGTCACACGGCTTGGCAGCCATATACAACTGGATGTTGTTCTTAATAATAACAAATTATTCCTTGTCTTGAATTGTCGGGACACATCCAGCTTTGCATTTTCATATTCATCTGATATCTTGCCTAAATAACCTGAAGCAGTGCGTAATGTTAGCTGCGGAAATAAATCTGTCAAGAAGTATTGCAAAATCTCTACCAATTTCCACCATCACATGGTACATGACGTCCAGGCACGCATAGGCATTTCATTTATAGGCACTTTACAGAAACCTTTGACTACTGTGCAATCAACCGGCATAACCTTTGAGACTAAAAGCAAAGCTTTCTATCCGAACCCCACACACAGGGACTGAGGTGCAGTGTGGGTGACTGAACAGCAGATAAAGGTTCATTATAGTTACTGTATAAAGCCGCCCTGCTCTTCACACAAAAATAATCTATTGATTTCTGACTACACCAAGACATCGCAAGCACTGGTCAAGGATTAGCATGTAATAAAATCAACCACAAACCTTACTGAACGCAGGTTTTAAGAACAGAAGGAGAATATATTAAGATAGAAGATCTGCTCTATACTGTCTACTCGGGCAGTAGGCTTCTGCGGCAGAGCCCGAACTGTCATGGGACCCTATAAGTGACTGATTTGGACATCTCTACATTCTGTGGGCAGGACGCCAGTGTGCCTTACAAATGCTGACAAAATGTGCATGCAGGGTTATCATGCACCTAGTTTTTTTTAGAGGGGCACCAGTGACAGTTCTGGCACTTCTTCCTAAGTCTACCCAAGACTTACGAAGGATATTTTATAATAAACCAAGCAAAGCTGCAACTGAACTGGGTTTTATTAACATCTTTAAGGGAGCCCGGTCTCATGAAAATGCCTAAAAATAGTACGCCAAATAAAAATGAAAACTCGTGAAATTGATACGCAAAAATGGACTTTGGCGTGCATATGATACGCATGTGTTTGGCGTGCATATAATACACGGTTTTCACATGCATATGATACGAAATTTGTTGACGTGCATATGATATGCAGTTTTCACGTACATATGATACGCATCTACCCCACAACCCTAAACCTACCCATCGCGTAGCATATACACGCCAAAGTCCATTTTTGCGTATCAATACCACGTGTTTTCGTTTTTATTTGGCGTACTATTTATACGCACTTTCATGAGATCAGGTTGCTTTAAGGCCACATCTATGTACTCACAATAGATGGATATGTAAATATGTGCTGCACGCTATCTTCTCAATAACAAAATAAATAAATGACAGCGGTGAGAAAACAGCAGTTCAGAAAGCATCTGATCATAGTGATGTGGATTAATTAAACACATGCTTACTTATATAGCACTTTGCAGAATAGATTTTAGTGTCAGTGTCACTTTCATTCAGAATTCAATGCTAGTGTGATATTTCAATACTATAAAGTATTTAGTGTTCATATTTTTACTGACCTCCGACCTAGTGTTTTCCCGCAGAATTGGGATACTTTTATTCTGCTGCCATGGGTTGTTTTTTAATACGCGGGTTGAAGCGAAGCTATTAAACCACACGATTTCGGAGCGATGTTGATAGCCAATTCCCCCGGAAATGCGATTGGGCTAGTTTAGGTTGTGATTGGTCTAGTTTTGAGTACCGATTGGGCTGGTTTTGTTATGCAGACCTGGCAACCCTGATCTAACCTCAATGGACTGAACAGAAGAAATTAACCGGAGATTTCCAGTTCGAAACGGCAGAGCGACGGATCACACCTATATTTCTTTAAATGCTCAAATTCTTTGGTTGTGTTGACAAATTAATATTTTGTAACCTTTTTGACGGATTCCCCCAAACACCCGTATTCAAAAACTTTTCGGTTCTGCACCAATCACATTGTCTAAATAACATATTTTAGTTTAAAAACTGTGGAATTCATCAAATGCAATGACTTTAGTTCACTATTTATTTATTTTTTTACCTCTAATAATTGTGGAATCTAGTCAGTCAGGTCTGGTGTAACTATAATTTTACACCACTGGTGACCCAAAAGCCGGTTGTCTGATATATCATGCTAACATACTTGCTTTGCATTTTGTGTTTGGCATTTAGAAAGCAGCATTCAGATACTGTATGTTTGAACATAGATAACATCATCTAGGATTTTCTAGACATGAGTAAATTCAATTCTTAAAGCTTAAAGAATCAAAATCAGATGATACACACAAACTACAGATAGGACGTGCAAATATTTGCTTGTTTTATCAAATGTCAAGTAGAAACACTTTCATTTTTGAGATACAGAGATGCATGTTCTGCTGTCACATTTTCAGCCTCACTCATGAATCACACACTTCATATAAGCTTTCCTCTGTATGATTTTGTGTTTCTGTCAGAGAGACAGTACATTAGGGCTTTGATGTTGTAAAAGATTTTCATCCATCTCTATGCTGTGATTTTTTATGTTTCATTTTACTGAATAAACATATTCAGCTGGTAATGGTATGGATAGCATATAGCGGGATAGCTTAATGATTTCTTTCTCCTATCTCAACTTAATATGCAGAGTCAACTGCAACAGTGGCGTGAGTTTGGAGACAACAATGGCGTGAGTTTGGGACAGATTTATCTGTTTGGCTGAGCAGTGGAGGACAAGGGGGAGTGTTTGGAAAAACCAGTTGTTATTTTTTGCAATTTTGTTTGGTGATGCAAGAGGCACAGAAATGATTCACTTCACCTTTAAATGGCATAAGTCAGAATATAGTATGTTAATGTTGTTGAAATGTAATTAACATGTCATTAATTGATAATAATGCATGCTTTCTCTGTCTCTCTCTCTCAGGGGTATCAGCGCTCCAACCATTTCATCGCCACACAAGGTGAGTGTTTATAATTTTGCTGCTCTGAAATCACTTGTGTATTTGTATTGTGTGGTTTATTAAAGTTGTTGATAAAAATGTACCTCTAAGTGTGTGTGTGTGTGTGTGTGTTTACATGCCCCAATTCTACTACAATGGTTTGAATGATTCATATGCAGATATTGTTTTTGCCGTTTGATCTTATTTTTCTCTCTTGCCATCCAAACACAGCAGCACTTCCTTCTAATTAAATGCTCTTTATGTTGCTCTCTTCCTTTGTGAGGGTGACTGACTAGGATGTTTCTTTTTGTTTATTCAAATACAATAAATCAGAGTCTAGAATTGAATCTTAATCATGACACAGCCATTTCTGCAACCTTCTTGTTCAGGGGCACAAGAGCTGTAGTTTGTGAATGAACCATTAAGACATGGACTGTCAATTGAAAATGTATATATGCTGTATAATAATGTATGTTTAGGGTTAATTAATTATTTATGTATGAATAATGTAATGAAGTGAATGCATATACAGTATATCTATCTATCTATCTATATCATTTTTTATGTAACCTAACAGTAATATATTTAAAATGTGTACTTCTATTAAGTATGGATGCATTAAATCAAAAATTAACATGGTTTGGACAGAAATGTCAAGCAGCACAGCTGTTTTCAACATTGATAATAATAGGAAATTGAGCAGCTAATCAGCATATTGTACTGATTTCTGAAGATCATGTGACACTGAAGATTGGAGTAATGATGCTGAAAATACAGCTGCGCATCACAGAAATAAATTACAGTTTAACAGAGATTCACATAGAAAACAG